GATGGAACTGTCCTATACCTCACCCATTGCGAAATGGTTGTGTAAAATGACGACCTGAAGCTCCATAACTGTCTATTCTTGCATTGTTTGATTGCTGTATAACTTTCTTGAGAATTGTTAGACCATTGCTCAGGCTTCCACCATAGATTATCAAGTCATGTAAAGCAAGAAGGGTGACCTTTGTTTTGCAGAACTGAATACTCATCGCTGAGAATGCTAGCTCCCTTCATGTTTCTCTTATATGATGTTAAGTAGTTAGACCAGTAAGTTGGATCTCGTATGCTTGTTTGTGAACTGGATGGAAGTTCCGGTGCTTGAGTTTGTATTAGTAGCTGAAAAAGGGGGAGAAGCTGAGCTCGGTCATAATTAACTTTATGACATGAAGTTTTAGGACATTTGCTAGTTGCAACATCAGCTTTTTTTTTATTAAGTTGCAACACCAACTGATCAGACAGGGAATTCACTCACTAGACATCATCATTTTTCTTCTTCTTTCGAGAATCCACTCAGCAAATAAACCCTCTGTTTCGCCAAACTTAAGGCCCAGGCTGAAGATTACGCAGCCAAGCCCAGCACAATCATACATATACACCTCGACTGTCTTTGTCCCTCTGGATGCAGCCAGGCCTGTTATCATGCGAGAACAAAAATGGAGGCTAGCAGTGCGGGCGTCGGCAAAGACGACCACCATATGCCTCCCTTCACCGGAGACCGTGTCGGCGCTCTTCCCGTCAGTGCTCCCTGCAACCAGAAGCAGCCACGGCCAAGGCGTACGAGAAAGTTATATACACGAGTGCATGCGGTATGAAGTTGGATCTGTTATATACACAAAGATTCCTGCAAAGTTACTAATCCTGCACAAGGAAGATTCATGTACAGTCGTGAACTGGATACTAGTACGTTTTAACGGCGGTGGCGTTCTTACCCTGTGGATCTCCGCGTCCTCGAAGCCAGGCGATACGTGAAGAAGCTCTCTATGCACCATGCGAGTCCTGGATGATACTCACAAGATCCAGGAGGTTTACTTAGATTGGAGGAATTGGGGATGAGCAGGAAGAGAACGAAGAGACGAGCAAAGACTGCATGCTGTTTCTGCAATATTGCGCAAGAATCAGTTCATCATCTTTTCATGGGTTGTAGTGTTGTGACCATCATTTAGAGTTCAGTGCTTCTTTGGGCAAATCAGAGAGACGCCATCCCTCAAAATGCTCCTGATTTCCGGAATTGGTGGCAAGAGGCCAGAAATAGAGTCCACGGACCTAGAAGGAATTCCTTGAGCACTATGGTACAACTAATTATATGGAGTATATGGAGGGGAAGAAATGGCAGAATTTTTGAAAACTCGCACACACCGCTTCAAGGAATCACCAATCAGATTAAGATTGACGCGATGCATTGGGCAGAAGCAAGTCTAGGTCCCTTTGTATTATTTTAGTTTCGTTCTATTTGAGGTTTTTGTAGACAGTTGTGGTGGTCAGGGCTTTGGGTCTTTTTGTTTGCTGAAGTCTAGGTTGTCCTTCTTGTAACTTTGATGGACGTTTGCTCGTGTATTTCTTCTTCTATCTTTAATATAATACATGCAGTCCTCCTGCATGGTTCGAGAAAAAAGATAGATTCAAATGTTTACTATGTAAACCCTCCGTAAAGAAATATAAGAGCGTTTAGATCACTACTCTACGGAAGGAGTTATCATATTTGACACACACACAACATGTTCAGTAGAAATACCCACACGCATGTCGCACACGACGTGGTCTGGCTCAGCCAGCCAGACTCGGCTCTGCAGGTCGTGGACTCATAGTCCGTTCGCAGCATTGACATAGAGGATAAACCGAACAATAATGTTTGTGACCTGATCTTCTAAATCGTGGACTTCTGGAAGGCGCTGGATGGTGCCTCGTGCATCAGTGTCCGAAGGAAATCTGTTCATGTTGGGATTCTGTCTGGGAGCGCGACGGGTCCATCAAGACCGGATTGCCGAGAAGTAACGACCTCGACATGATCCAGTTGCGAGAGGCCGCTACGACGTCCTGTATGACGACTGTCTCCACAAGATGTCGTTGTCGTTCAAATTCTCCCCCAAAATAGCTGCTCCCGCAGCACAGCCGCGATCTAAGAGTTCCTCTGACCCTGGGGCACGGCATCATCAAATGCCTCTCTCGCACGTAGTTATCCTCCCATGCCGCTCGCAGCAACGTCTCTCACCCTCGTTGCCTCGGCGCAGCGCCGCTGCCAGCACTCTATGTACCTGTCATAGCACCGCCGGTTGCCGTCCCAGGGCTGACTTGCAGCACCGTCACAGCGGTCGCTCGACTCACAACATTGCAAGCCGGTTGCTCACAACACCATTGACACGCCCATGCGTCGCTAGTGGCTCCTTGTAGCATCACCGCTTGGGGTATGCAACATTGGTGTTGTCATTTGCAGCATCGGCATCGCTTGCTAGGTCACTTGTCATTGTCAGGCATACATAGCATCGTCGTCTGGGTCCGCAACATTGCCGCCGATCACTCACAACATCGCCGGCGGTTGCTCACAGTATCATGAGTGGGCAGTCTCATGTGTCACCGTTTGTCACTCACAACAGTTGGGG